TTAAAAGAATCCTATACAAATCCAATTTTGCCTTTGTGTTTCCCAAAGTGTATTTCTGGGACACACTTTTTTTTGTTAAACTTCAATTAATTCCAAAAATGTATTTTCAGAAATACCCTACACATATAATATAATCGTTTTTGAAATCGTCCTATTTTACAACTAACTTTAGTCCAGAAATGCATTTTTGATTATTCCATGTTACTTTAATTATATATAGCACATGCATTAATATACTATTAAAATAAAATATAATATTATAAGGGTTTAACTAAAAAGCAATTGAAAAAAATTAAATAAATTTTGTAAGATGGCATTATTGTCGGTAACTTTATTACTATTATATACTCCTTCCATCTCACAATAGGTGTTCTCTTTGAGATTTTCACACATTTTAAGATAATGATTAATTGTGCTGATTTCAATGATAAAATAAATGTTATTTAGTGAAATAACTTTATGAATAATAGGTAGTGAAGTATTTACATGCTTTTAAATACAATAAATAAGGATAAGTTAGTGGAAAAATAATAAATATTATATTAGTATTCTAAAAGGATAAATAATTTGAGACAATTAAAAATAGGAAAGATGACCCCTATTGTGAAACGGAGAGAGTAATAATATAAATGTACTATGTTGAATTAAAGTGGAAATATAACTTTAAAAAAATAGAAATTTCACTGTATGTGACTTAATCAAAATTGTATGAAATAATATCGAGCAGAGAAGTTATATCATTAAGCTATAATTTCAATTTCGTAATTAAAAATAAAATGAAATACATTTACTTAATTACACTATTGCCATTAATGAAATTTGACCACAATTTCATGATGTTCTGCTATTCTCATACCATAAGGTTCTCATAACATTTAAAGCTGTCAAATAGATCAACCCGACCCAGTCCGCTTCGGTCCGTTGGGCTAAAATATTTAAATGGACTGGTACAACCTGGTCCAATTACTTAATGGGCTACAGAAAATGAGCCCGACTCATTTTTCAAAGGCTTGTGCAACCCGATGGGCCAGTCTTATCCGTATTTCAATATTATAGTTTTAATTTTATAAAAAGGGATGTAATGAATAAAAGCTACATAATATAAGAAGAGAATCATCATAAACTTAGTTAAGTGATGTTTAAAATATTTATCATATATATATATATATATATATATATATATATATATATATATATATATATATATATATATATATATATATACACACACACACACACCACATAAACATCCATGTAAAAGTACAAAGTAATTTAATATTATCACCAATACTTATCAAATTTTCTCTTCATCTCACAACCATTTCCTTGATCACATCATCTTGAAAATATATCTTATTTCTCTTTAACTTTTCTTTACCACTTGAAAATACACTTATGCAATCATATCTTATCTCAATCTTATTTTTCCCCGAAATTTACCAAAATATTTTTTTAATGGGAAAGCCCGAAGCCCGCTTGGCCCAGGCCATGAAAAACATAGGCCTGATGGGATGGATCAGAAGGATAAAGTCTTATTTTTTTAAAGGTATTTTTATGGCTCGGCCCCGCGCTAAATTATTGGGCTTATGGGTGGGCCCGATGGGGCGAGCCCATTTTGACAGCTCTAATAACAATAGATATCAAAAGTGCAATTCTGGGAACAACTGGAAGTGCATTTTCAAAATAAAGTTAGTCGTAAAATAAGGTGAATCTCAAAAAGGAATGAATTATATTTGTAGGGTGCGCCCCAGAAATGCACTTTCAGAATTTGGGGCCATTTTTGGAATTTCACGCGGTGCACTAGAAAAGCATATGGTGCGTTAAGAAACCCTTATATTTTTTGGGAACTTCTTTGTACACCTCTTATGGATGGGAAAAATCCCTGAAAACCCAAAAAATCCTTCGGAGATGCATCTCCGAACACACTCCAAATCAAGGTGTTTCGGAGATGCATTTCTGAAAATAATCTGTTTGGACTTGGACATTATATTTAAACATGTAATGATATTTTCAGAGATGCATCTCCTAAACACCCTGATTTGGTTCTTTCGGAGATACATCTACGAAACCCTAGACAGATATATATTTTTTTAAAAATCATCAATGTGCTGATAAATAATTAGATGAAAACGATAATAAAAACGCAAATGAAAAATGATAAGACATAAAAAATGATAATAAACACAATAAATTGTTTAAAATAAAAAGTAATACAATAATTGTTCACAAATTATTCTGAAAAAAAAAAAAAACCTAGCCTACTACGTATGTCTGATCCTCACTCCCTAGCCCCTCCTCTGTCTATTGTTACCCGCCACACTCTCTGCCTCCCAAACCATCCACTCTACAATGGCCACTGCCTCAGGACCACCCCGGTCAATGATACCTATGTCCAAAGCCTCTTGCCCAATCATCTGTATCCGCTGACAGATCGGTAAGAGATCAATGGCATGGTCATCCTTAGCCTGCTGGTTCTCTAAGATCTCCCCATGAGATGGCCTAGATGGACGTCCAGGAGCATCTGATGTCATGATAGGATGTGACACTGTATAAAACCATGTCACATATCCCTCAACATAATGCGAACTACCGCTTTCCTGTATCATCCGACCCACCTCAGGCATCATATGATTCTCCCAATCCTGGAAGATGCCATCGAACTCCCAGCGGACAATGGTGTCGGGAGCAACCTGAAATAGATATCTAAGTATGGTCTGCATATAGCCAAATTGCCACATGCATCGCTCCAACAGATATCTAACCATAGTGTTATTCCCACATGCCAGCCACCTATAATACAGTGAGATGAAGTCGACCTGTATAATCTCCAAGTGATCCTCGAACGATGTCCATAAGATGTCATCATGGACAGTCCTATCCAGATACACTCAGAATAATAACACATCTTGGTTTCCTCTATGGGGGGCATACCAAGCAGCCCTCAACATGTCCTCATTATAATCCAGAGCATAATTGAAACCATGGATGTGGTGGAAGTGAGAAATAATCCAACCCTTAAAAACAAATAAGATCCATGCAAGAACAAATTATAGTTATTAATAGTAAATTAAATTTAATAGTTGGAATGATAATTATCGTCAGTAGTGTAGTAGAGCCTGTCAGCTGCCGTGTCCTCTAGTTAGAGGCTTCATTCAGCTTTTGGTACATGTATACCAAACAGCCGACCCCTCAATTCCACTCCCTCACTGTATCCAACTTCATGAAGTAATGGAAGTATGCTACATCCACGTAGTTGGGTCTTTTGTCCACAAAAATGGACGTGTCAACTAAGAACATGAAGTAACACCTCATAGCATACTGACGGTGATAAAGAACAAAGAAATCGTCTCGCTCTAACTCAGAATCAACTGCTGCAGAGAGGTGATGGTGATATAGGTTCTTAAGGAATGAGAACTTGGCATGAGCCTCATTAGTGGAGGAACACTGCTAAAATGTTTCTTTTGATTCAGATCCCAGATACTCGACCATCCATTCAATCATATCACTATGGTCGATCTGGGAGTGGTTAAGTAACCTCCCTCTGATAGGAAGGTGTAGCAGGCAAGCATCATCATCAAGTGTGATCGTCATCTCCTCAATAGGCAAGTGGAAAGATGACTTCTCCTTGTGCCACCTCTCAACAAATTCCCTGTACATGCCGTGGCTGATGGTGTTGTAACCAGAATAACAAAGGCCGATAAGTCCGGAGGCAAAAATGGTCTCTCTAAACTAAGCCTCATCAGGGTGATGCAGCTTGGATATCTTTCGCGCGTGGTCCATGCACTTTAGTGGCCCCTGTTTCTGTAAAGATAAATAATTAATATCAATTTTAACATTTTAGTGCGTAAATTATTAAAATGAAAAGTGTAACAAAAATTAATATACATGTCCCTCTGAAATATATTGAGTGACATGATCGATGTAATAGATTGAGAGGAGGTGTCAGACGACCCTCCTGCAAAATACGGGTTAACCTCCTCCCCGACTTCCGGAACATAAACCATTTCAGGACCCAGAACTTGAACCCGCTTGGGTTCCTTCTCCTCGTAATCCCTAGACGATGACGCACGTGAAAGGCGACTCCTCGAAGCAGAAGTCGATGTTCCATCCACTTCCTCCTGCGGTATCCGACCGCGTCCTGGACGTCTCGTAGTCTTCTCAGCTCTCTCTCGTCGAGCGCATGCAGTTTGGCTAGGCCTACCAAATCTCAATCTGTTGGGGTTCTCTGTCATTTTTCTGAAAAAACAAATAATCGTTAATCAAATCCAAGGTAAGCAAACAAACAAGAACATGTTTGAAAATTAAAAATAAAAATAAACCCTAGCCTTTTTTCCGAGATACATCTCTGAAACTCCTCAGAGGCGTTTTCGAAGATGTATCTCCGAAAAAACCAGCGACTTCCCTAACCAAAGCTTCAACCTAACATCACCATTTTTACACCAAAATCCAATTTTTACACATAAAAGTAAGCTTTTTACAGGTTATACATAATCTAAAAAACTTAAAATAGAAATGCAAAGATTAAAAGGAATTGGAGAACTTACTCAAATTTGAAGCTTTTAAAGTTATTGAAATGTGTTGAAATTGAGAGTTGGAGTGAGTTGTAACAAGTGCAAATGAGTAGACAAATTTGAATGAGTTTTGTAAGTAGAGATTTTGGAGGTTTTTGGGGTGTTTGATAGTTAAAATTTGGAAGAAATGAGAATGAGGGGTGACTGTTCGTATTTGTTACTGTAATTCCCTAATTCGGAGATGTATCTCCGAAACACTCCTGATTTTGAAAAAAAAATGTTTCGGTAATACATCTCCGAAAATATCCTAGAAAAAATAAAATGTGATGCGTTCGAAGATACATCTCTAAATTTTGAAGGTAAAAACGAAATTTTGCCAGAAAGGGCCAAAAATGTGTAAGGGTGGGGAAAGAAATTCGATTTTTTTTGGTGTTATATTAAATTGGGCTAAATGAAGGCCCATTAAAATGCAATGCAATTGATGCAAGCAAATTGCATTTGCATCTTGTGTTTTGTTTGTCTCTATTCTCTCTTCCCTCCATTCACGCTACACCTCAATCCATCACATCTTCTTCTTCTTCCCAATTCCCGATTTCAAACCTCCACGCCCAGATTCCGTTCTCCTCCCAACCAACCATCACCCCATCACGCTTCCCCGGAGTGGGACCCACTCCGATCAACTTTCCTTTTTTACCCTTCCAACCCACACGGACATGAATCGCATCTTCCGCTTCTCAATCCTCCGCGTCAAATGTAGCTCGAAGGATTTCGAATTTCTGTAAAATGTGATACTTATAGCATACTTGTTAATCTTATTACCATTAGAATTTTGAATTTTGAATTGAAGTTATAGGGGGTTGTGGAAATTTTGGATTTGTAGATTTGTTTGTTGAAACTGTTGTTGTTGTTGTTGATTGTGAAAAGGAGATGAAATTGAAAGGAGAGAGATGAGTGGAGTGTCATTGGGTCTACGAACAGGTAGCCATGGTTCTCTGCAGTTGATTCAAAATGGAAACGGGTTGCAGGTTCCTGTGCTTGTTCGTAGACCTTCAAAGGCGCTCCTTTATAACCCTAAAGAGAAAGAAAGGGGTTGCCCTTATATTTGTCGCCACCTCGGACGCGGCAGGGTTGCTATGCTTCTCATGCTTCTCTTTGGCCTTTTCATTTTTGTCTTTGGTTGCTTTACACTTTACAAAGGTTAGTTTTAGTTTAGTTTGTTAGTTACTCTTTCATTGTTTAGTTCATGTATCTATTTATTTATAGAGTTTAATCTATATGCTTAGAGCCGTCCCTGTGTAAGAAGTTGGAAGTGTGAAATATGTGTATGAAGGCCTTTTTTACCTTAATTTAATCATGAAAAAGTGAGATTCTATGCTGTAGGCCGCCTTGCACACCCTCAAAGACGGCCCTGTATATGCACCATGACTATATTATTCAATCATATCCATTGTCGCTAAATTGAAGATCGCGAATGTTTTGTGATATGATGTTTAGTACGCAATGTTGACAATTAGCGGTTATAGAGACTCTATAGCATTGTTGCATAGAAAAATTTGAACAAATCTTCCATGATCTGTGATTGACAACACCGATCATATTTCATCAAATGGATTCTTTATGTTTGTCCCGATATTTTAGAAAACGATATAACAAAATGATACTAGAAAACGATATAACAAAATGATACTACGATGATATATGATTGGTTTTATAGGATGTGCCATACATATTAAACTCTTACCTAGTTAGTTAGATTAAGTGTATGTTTAGTTTCGTGTTTAGAGCACCCGAAATTGATTCTGGATGTGTAAAATTGATTCTGACATGTTTGAATGCTCTCAACTAGAATTGATTCTGCTTCCTGATTCTATTTTTATTTTTTTGACAACAAAATTGATTCTACTGAAGCTAAGATTTGTAGCTTGAGTTTAAACGTGATTTTTACACTGAAATTTATAGGTCAACTCAATTTTGCAAGAATTTATCCAAACATAAATCACTTTACTTTCAACTCACTCTTAACCAGGATCAATTTTATAGAATTAATTCACTTTTAATCAAAACGTGATTTTTACATTGAAATTTATAGTTCAACTCAATTTTGCAAGAATTTATCCAAATATAAATCACTTTACTTTCAACTCACTGTTAACCACAATCAATTTTATAGAATTAATTCACTTATAATCAATATTTTTCACCGCAGGACCAAACACACACTAAATTAGACTAGTTTTTTAATATTGGTTATGACTTATAACATGCTTTGAAATGTCTTTTTTTTTGTGTGTGTAACTTTTTAAACTTTTGTTTATCAAATCTGTATGTTTCATGGTGTGTTTTTGGTTTTGTGTTGAACTTCAGGTGGAAACATTACTAGTGAAATTGAAAATACAAGATCTCGTGCCATTAGTAGCTATGATTTTTTAGGCCTTGAGGAAACAATAGAACCAAAGTTGATGGATAGTAGTTCTTCTAGAAAGACACCGGTAACAAGTAGGGATAAAAGTACATTCAGGGATCATCCTGTTTCCCATTTACGATCTTCATATAATTTGAAAGGAAAAGTAGGATCTTCCTTTACTGCGGGACATTATTGTGACCATTTTGCATATCCTCCTCCACCGGCTGATAGAAGAAGAACTGGACCACGCCGTAAGTTTTTTATTTTTCAGTCAGATCTTGTTTTCAATTCTTAACTTACAGAAGTGTATCTGTTTTGAATCCGTGCAATAGCTTCTGATATAAATATCGAACTCGGTACATATTGAGTTGTTATCATTTTAGAGTTCTGTTGATCAGGTTTTTTACTCTTTCCCTTTCAGCATGTCCTGTGTGCTATATGCCTGTGGAGAAAGCTATAGATAGTATGCCAAGTTCCCCATCAGAGTCTCCTATACTTCACACTCTCACATATGCGCATAACGAAAATATGTTTCCAATTGAACCACAGGGTGGCTCTGATTTTGGTGGATACCCTACTCTGGAAGAAAGGGATGCTTCTTTTGATATAAAAGAGACCATGAAAGTGCATTGTGGGTTAGTTCATTTTTGTTAATTGTTTTAATGTTCTCATAACTTGGAGAGTAATGTTCTTGAAAGAATTCATAGTTTAGTTTCCCACTTTTCAGTAATGTCCTTTTTAAGATTTTTTTTTTTTTAACGGAAATGGATTTGATGCAGTAAAAAATTCTTGCAGTCATTGTATCTCAGTTGTTCGATAAAGAAAAGACGGTTAGTATTTCGAGTTTGCGTTTTAAACCCAATTTAGTGAAGTAGAGACATGACACATGTCTTCTCCGTCGAGATGTAGTGACCACAGGAATTTTTTTACTGCACAGAATCTGGGTTCAGTACTCAATGCATTTTTAATGCCTTTTATTGCATTTCTGGACTGACATACTCTCATCAGATTTGTCAAAGGAAGCAGACCTGGCCGCCAGACTGGATTTGATTTCGATGAGGAAGATCTCTTAGAGTTGGATCAGTACCATGATATCATTGTTGCGTCTGCCATATTTGGTATGATTTATGACTGATTATGTTCTACATTTGCTTTTTTGTTCTTTGTTTTCTGTTTCTCATAGCTCCATCCAATATATATCAGGAAACTATGATGTAATACAGCAGCCCAGGAACATCAGTAGAGAAGCAAGGAGAAACATTCCTTTCTATATGTTTATTGACGAAGAGACAGAAATGTATATGAGAAATGCCAGTATTTTGGATAGCAGCAGGAGAGTTGGATTGTGGAGAATCATTGTTGTCCGGAATATTCCATATGCTGATTCTAGGCGTAATGGAAAGGTTAATCGCTTACTCTTTGCTTACTCATTATTAGAAGATCAATAATGTGATTTATTGAAATCTAATACTATTTTCGACCTGTATAATGTAATTTCTTAACACTTTTCTTTCTGAATTACATCTGTTTTTCTGATTTGATCTCAGAACTTTTTTCTTTCTACATTTATCTTGATGCTGTTTGAATTTACTCTAATTCAAGTAATAATTGTACTTGATTAATTTAGCTTTTGTTATCCTTTCCTAAAATCCAAATTAATTGCTGAGTTTGGTTTTTGGTGCTTCCTACCAATATGAACTATGTAGTTTTATAAAATGGGCTCTTTTTTCCAAGGGCTGCTTGCATTTTGGTGTGGAAGAACCTGTAATCATGTATGTCTTTGTTAATCCAGTGCATGAAGTGGGGCTTGAGGCTTCACTGCATAAAGCTTAAGAAATTTATTTGTTGATTTATCTTCTAATATTTGAGTATCCGAGTAGGTAACTGTTTTATGCGGTTAGGTAGTACTATAAAAAGTGAAATCTAATAGAAGCTTAGTAGGAAAGGTGGAAGGTAAAGGGTGTCAATTAGTTGAAATAGTTATACAAGAAAGAACTGAGTTATTGGTTTTAAGTATTAACAATTTGCTTTTTTAGTATATTAACAAACAGCACTCAAATTTTTTATCCTATTAAAGTATGATTATGTTTATGTCATGCTCATGCACCCTATAATGAGTGTGGAACTTATTATGTATGGGCTCTGATGAATTATGATGCCTCTGAACATATTGCAGATTCCAAAACTTCTTCTTCACAGAATCTTCCCCAATATTCGATATTCAATTTGGATTGATGGGAAGCTTGAGCTCGTTGTTGACCCATATCAAGTTCTTGAAAGGTAAAATGTACTCTCTTTTTTAATATATTTTTCTTCATATTTTTATTCCCTTTGTATGTAGAGGGAAGCAATTTTCTAGTAACTGTCATTTATACTTTAGAGTTGAAATTGGTATTCTTTGACAACTAATAAATATTATAATATCAGTCATACACTTTAGAGGATTCATTTTTTATTAATTGCTAAATGACTTTCAGCATGGATTAACATGATTCATGGATTTTATTTACTATTTTCAACTTCGTGATACTTGCACATCCTGTACAATTTGGCTTCAAGTTGGTCTCTATTCTTGGTATTTTCTATAAAAGTTTTGAAGATTTCTTATTGCATAAAACAGACTTCGATTTCTTTTTATAGTTATGGCGATCAAGTTAAATAACCCTCCGCCTTTGGTGCAGTACAACTGTAAAAGTAATTGTTGCTTACTTAGCCAAGTTACCTAGAAGAATTTCTGATAGCATCAGTAATATATTCATTGTCACTGCCTGTTTTTTTTATCATCCAGGTTCTTGTGGCGCCCAAATGCTACGTTTGCCATTTCAAGACACTATAGGCGCTTTGATGTCTTTGTCGAGGCTGAGGCTAATAAAGTAGCTGGAAAATATGAAAATGCTTCCATTGATCGCCAAGTTCAATTTTATCAATACCACGATGGTTTAACTCATTATTCCAGGGCTAAACTTCCCATAACCAGCGGTAAGAACAATTTCGATATTTACATGCCTATTCTCGCAAAATAGGTTATTATGTACGGAGAAACGTGCCTGTGCTTGCATATAATACTCCATCTCAAATGTGCCTTGCCTCTGCAGATGTTCCTGAAGGTTGTGTTATCATTAGAGAACACATTCCAATTACAAATCTGTTTACCTGCTTATGGTTCAATGAAGTCGATCGCTTTACTTCCAGGGATCAGTTAAGCTTTTCCACGGTAAGAGACAAAATAATGGCAAAAGTTGATTGGAGTATCGATATGTTTCTGGATTGTGAAAGGCGAAACTTTGTGATACAGGTTAGTTTTTACTTGCTGCCATTTTTAAAAATACAAATCCGCTCCTTGTTTTCAGTCTATTTCCTATTTTTAAAGCTTTGTAC